TTTTACTGTATCTACTAGGAACGATAAGCGAATTACCGTACGATAGGAGTATGATCGTGGTAAATTCCGATTTATACTGAGGTATTTTACGCAGGAAATTCGCTGCGTGAGCTTTGCGCAAAGACGACGGTCGACGCGAGTGCGCGATTACCGCGCGCGTAGTCGTGCGTGCATTGACCACAATGGCGGTTGAGGGGACCGTAGGCGAAGTGATATGTCGCCGTACCTCCCTGTACCTCTGTTGACTCGTACCCGGTGCCGTTGACGTTGGTGGGGGGGTCCTATCCTGGGACGATCCGCGCCTAGCTGATTTGTCCGGAGTAATCTGCTTCCCGATGTAGGTTGTCCGTGTCGAGCCTGGCGTCCGATCTGGTGCCGCTGGTATTGGCGGGAGGTCCTATCCTGGGACGATCCGCGCCTAGCTGGCTGGTCCGGGGTGATTTGCTTCCCGATGTAGATTGTCCGTGTCGAATCTCCTCGGGGCGTAAGCCCCAGTAAAGCGATGTTGACGGGTCACTACTGTGACGTTATCCCTTTGGGGGGTGATTACCTCGATGTGCGTAATCACGTCGGGGTCACCAATGTGGGGACTAGTGCCGGTCTGCACGTAGCTGCTGAGACCTGGGTGGTAAGCCCGCTTGTCCCTCACTAATTATTCTGCCCCCAGGAATAGTGAAGTTTCAGTAATAGAAGACTGGTAACTTCTGGTCAACGTAACTTATATTTTCCAAAGCAAAAACACGTCTTGACTTGACGATGTTATATCAGCTAATGCCGTATCCGCATGAACCTCGGTTCTTTCCGTCTCGCTGCGGATGATGCGCTCCTCGCGGTAACAGTGGTTACTTGACTGCGAGGGTAAGGTAGAGCCCACAATAGCAGATTTTCAGCGCCATCTATTAGCCAGTCACAAGCTAGCGACTAGCTAGAACATCTATCTAGTCAGTACTATCTAGCTACTAGCCTCTAAATCGAACCGACTAGATTCATTGTTGCTCGGGTAGTATTAGGTGTTCGTCTATTTCTTCTCGCCGCCGGTTCCGGTTAGTCGGTGCGTTTATTAATTTTCTATATATAATTTTAGGTGATTCGCGTGTACTCGCGTTGTTTTTCGTCCCTTTTTTAATGTAAAGTTTACGTTGTTGTGCTTCTCTATTATCGTATAGGGTCCGCTCCATTGGGAGTCTAGCTTTTTCGATCTTCCTCTTCGTAGTGTCTCGTCTAGTAGAAGCACTCTATCGCCTGTTTTGAAGCTTGTTTCTTTCGCTTTTTTATCGTAGTGTTTTTACTTTTTTCTTTTTCTTCTTTTAAATTAGCTTTTGCTATTTGGTTTACTGCGCGTATTCTTTCCTTTAATTCTTGCGCGTAGTCATCGTATGTGTATGTGAGCTTTGGTGGTTGGTTAAGCGCTGAGGGTAGGATTGCTTGGTGACCGTATATTAATTCAAAGGGTGTAAATCCCGTTGTTGTTGTGGTGTTGTATTATACGTGAACATTGCGTATGGCAACCATTCGTCCCAGTCGCTTTGCTCAGAATTTATATAATGGCGTAAATACTCTGCTAGTGTTCGATGGGATCGTTCTAGTGCGCCATTACTTTCCGGGTGGTATGCGGTTGTTTGAATTTTTTCGATTTTTAATGGTTTACATGTATTTTTAAAGATTTCGCTAAATTTGTGCCTTGGTCTGTCAGCACTTTTTGTGGTATACCGTGTTCAAGTTTTTTTGTCGCGAATGCTTTGGCAACTGTATTCGCTTCTTGGTTAGGTATAGGTATGGCTTTGCTAAATTTCGTTAAATTATCTTAGAATGTAAGGACATACTTATTTCCTGTTTCAGTAATCGTTAGCGGTCCTACTATGTCTAATGCACATTTTTCAAAAGGCATAGAGGGTGTATCTGTAAGTACTAATGGTGTTCAGTATCAACACGAACAGTATTCGTGTTCGCGCTGTCTTTTCGCGTAATAACAAGTTGTGTTGTTCGTGAATATATTGTTTATTGTTTAGTCTTAGAAATACGCCACAAATCACAATGTCTCGCACTCGCGATGGAGATACCCGCGACAACGCCTTGGGGACGCTGCCCTGGGTCGCGGACGATTTGTATGTTCGGTGACGACGCCTTGGGGCTGTTACCCTGAGTCACCTTCACGGATGCCACGATTCGCGACTCTCACTGAATCGATCACGATCGAAACCCTTGATCACGAGACACGGTAGTGTCTCGCGCCAAGTATAAGCGACTAAGTATAAGCGACAAGCTAAACCACGCGCGCGACACCGACCGTGTAAGTTTAAGCGAGTACACGAGTTGACGGGCCCTCAGATTTTCGGATCTCATCAACGGCTGATCCGACGAACTTGAGACTGCGCTTAATCGATAGCTTGGGTACGATTTGCATAATAAAAGTGTTTTTACTTTTCT